TATAATAGAGTATATATAAAACATATATCACAATATTATAATGTATAAAAACTGAAAGTTGTTAATAATTATATTTTGTTGTTATTATTGTTGTTGAAATCACAGTTTAAGATACAATTCAATTATTTATATATTAAAGGTTTATTATTTTCCTTATATTGTATATATTAATGATTTACATGTACTCTATAAGGTATATGTATGAGAAACTCAGTTACGTTTCAATGAACCGGTAGTTATATTGTTGTTGACTCTGATGGTGACGGGTGTTGTTGTTGTTGATGATGTTGTAAGTGTGTTGACGATACTGTTATTTGTTGTTTGAAAACTATTATCTGTGGGTACCGTTTGACTGGCACTTGTATTAACCAATACAGTGTTATATCGTTTACGTTGACCGCAACAACATATGACACAAGCTATTAATGAACAAACTATTGTCACGTAGAGTACAATTACAGCAAACAGGCTGACAGCGGCACCGGTATGTTGTTGGTCATCGGATGAACTGGTATTATGATAGTTGCTGACAGTGGCTATAGTATTGCTAATGTTGGTTGTGTCCATAATTTTTTAAACAAATTTTCATTTATTGTTGAATTTTATTTATGTATCTAAAATAATTGTTGAGCAATAATATAATTCAATTTTTTTTGAATAATTATTATTAAAAACAAATTTTTGATTATAATGTTGATTCACTGTATTAATCAAAAAATTATTATTAATACAAATAGAAAATATATTTTTATTTATTATTTATATCACTAGAATTCTATTATTTTTAATATGAATTTAGATATATTTAATATAAACTTATATATATATATATATATATAAAGATATATATAATTTTGTATTCATATCACGAAATATTCACTATATGTTTGYTGCTATTTGTCAGATAAATTAGTTAACTTCAATGTGATTGTGTGTGTGTGTGTGTGTGTCTATGTGTGTGTGTGTGTGTGTGTGTGTGTGTGTGTGTGTCTATTTGTGTGTGTGTGTGTGTGTGTGTGTGTGTGTGTGTGTGTSTGTGTGTRTGTGTGTGTGTGTCTATGTGTGTGTGTCTATGTGTGTGTGTCTATGTGTGTGTGTGTGTGTGTGTGTCTATGTGTGTGTGTTTATTGTTTGTCTTAGTGAAGTTGTGTTTAACTATATTTTTTATCAAATTATTTTAGTTTTTTAAATGAAATTCTTATCAAAACATTTGTTTCTCTTATTATTATTTTTTGTCTCTCGTGTTTAACTACACTAATAGTAAAGACATATCAATACTTTATGACAATAGCTATATAATACATAAATTATATAAATGAAAACAATATATTGTTTTTATTTATTAAAGATGAACACAAACCTAACTAACAAAGCAATTGAATTATACTTTATATATATATATATTGAATAGATTTTAATAAAATCCTAAGAGATACTCATCTATATTGATATATATTTTGTTCACAAACACATACATATAAATAAATATATATATATATATTATGTAAAAATTGTTTGAATATAAAATTATTGTTTATTTAGTAGCATATAAAACATTTTGATTATTTAATATTTTTGTTTTTACTTTTGCTTTTATAATAAAATGACTAAAAGCGTTTTGTATGTACTGTATGTGATGTCTAAATAATTAAACTAAGCTGCATATTATTATGCAATTAATTTAATTATTAATAGAAAAATTTTAATTATTATAAACCGTATGTATAACTTAATTATGTATTTTTTATCTACAATACAATATTATATAGGCATTATATATCAAAAATAAGAATTTAGAAAAAAATAATTTAATATTTACTTACAATTTGATAAAACAATATTGATTTAGTCAAAAAAATTTACGGTCACAAAATTTGTATTAAATATTTTTTAAAAATTTTGCCACAAAACACAAACAATGTTCAGTAATGTTATCAAACCAAACAATTGAAGCATAAAATTATAAATATTTATTTCACTTAACAAAATACGTTATGAACTGTATTGATATAATAATAATTTTTATATATTGGAAAAGTCCAAAATTAACATATCATATAATTATTTATATATTAATTATTATTTTAAACACATATACAATATATGATAGTATAAATGTGAGTACAGTGAATGTATTATTTTAAGTTATGAGTTAAGATATCATAGTTTTTTTTATATTCAGTAATAATTTTTATATCATTTGTAGAAAAGTGGCGATTAAATTGAAAATAATAAAATACAGTAATTTATTATACCAATAGATTTTCATAACCAAAAATCCGTATATCCGTTAAATATATTTATGATAGTTTTTTTCATAAACAATTTATATTATTTATAATATAGAATACAATATAATATATATATATATATATATATATATATATATATATAAGTAATATATTATATTTGATGGTCTGTATTAGATAATCATTTTTTTAACGGACTACAAATTTTAATAGTAAAGCTATTATATTATTGCTAATATTTTAGTAATACTATTGTTTTTTGGTAGTAATCTTGCAGTGAAATCATTATTGTTTTTTTATAAAAAAAAACTTATAGTTTTACAGCAAATAAGATTATACACTAAACTATAGTAAGACAAGAGTAAAACCTTTGCGAAAAAAACAGATAAACTTCATATAATCGGTATTAAGAAATATTTTCTGGTAATATAATCACAGAATATTCTACTGTTTTATAGACAACAAAAACCATAATATCTTTGTATATTATATATCATATATATATATATATATATATATAAACCTTATGTTACACAAAACATTATTCATCATATTCAACACAATAAATAACAAAATATATGGTTTACTTTATAGACAAACGTATCAATAAATAGTTTAACAATACATGCAATATAAAACAACTGATCACTTAAATAGATATAAACATTGGATAGCAAATGTTTTGTTTGTTTGTTTGTTTATTTAATAATTTTTATTAAATATTTTTTAATAAAAATAAAAAGTAGAATTTTTATTATTATCATTATTATTATTATACTTTTTTTGTATCGTAAAAATTTAATTTTACTAATGTTTTATTTTTCAAAATATCCAAATAATGTGAATACACACAATATTTTTCAAAATTATAATAACAGGAAAATAAGTATTAAGTTATGAGAACAACACTTTAACATTACTATACATATTATATAAAATCACATTAAATTAAATAATATTCACAATAATTATAATTATGTGATGTTTAAGGATTTTATATAAAAAAATTGTTTTCCAGATATACAAAAAAATAAAATATTATTAAAATAGATTTTCTATCTAACTTTAAAATTAATTGTGTTTTATATAAATTTTTTTATATATTAAATATTATAGATTTATATAAAATATTTAATGCATAACTATTTGAATATAAAGAGCAGTCACAGATATATGTATATTGCTTTCAATCGTAAACAACATCAGTATATCATTTAATATATAGTATTATATCTCTCTGAAAGATACTAGAGTTGAGTGAAACGGTTGTACTGTATTAGATAAATACAGTGCACTTTACAGCGTATGTACAACAAGTCTACCAGTGCTGAGCATACTTGAGCTGAATTTTAGCTCTCTCTCTCTCTCTCTCTCTCTCTCTCTCTTTCTCTGTATATTATCAACTATGCCGTTGCGTAACAGTACCTGACATTCAGTAATAAAAATAAAAAGATTTTCACTATAAATGTTTGGATATGCAATAAATGTATGGCTTTAGACATTCAACCAAATCTCTCTCTCTCTCTTTAATGCATTTATTTTATTGTGACTTATATATTATAATTTCAATCTATTTTCACAATATATTGTATATCCCAGGAATACATATAACATAATGTAGACACACATACACTCAAATAAACATTAATTTCAAAAATATTTTCAGTTATTTTACTTTCTTTTCTTACATTAGAAAAAATATTCAAAAAAAATAATATTTTTATTGAAAGCCATTTAAATGAATAAACAGTATTTATATTTACAAATTAATTTAAACTCAATGTTTCGTATAAATGTAAGTATCCCTAATTTATTCATTAAATATTACGTTAAATTAAATTTTGATATTAAATTAATATCATATACTACATCTATACTAATTTATTTCTAAAATATTAAAAACATAATTTAAATTAAGTTAAATAACTTTTGTATTATGCTAAATTTTTAAAGTAATTTTTATTCACTAGTGATATATTAAATATATTTAAGTAAAATCCTTATATTATAAATGTTAGATTTGACACAAAATTTTTAGTATAAACGTGATATTAAAGTGAATTGAAAGTAAATTAAAATTAAAAATAATAATAATTTAAATTAAATGCTGGTAATTGTTTAAAACAAAATAATTGTATCTTGAACATATTTATTTATATAATTGAGTTTCTAAAATCAGAAACCACTTATAAATAAATATTTAGACTCATTTATAAACTTATTATAAATATATATATTGACAACTATTTATTATATTTTAATATTATATTTTTATTAGTTTTATAAAAAGTCAAATATAATTTAAAAAAATCAAATTTAAGTTTTTCATAAAATAGGAAATGTCGGTACAAATTATTATTAATAGATATTTGTAGCTCTGATCTCATTCAATAAAAACCAATATAACAAACATTATATTTAATAAATAGTACTGTTATATACTTTTATATTTGCTAAATAAATATTTGTCAACAAATTTTCGAGTTTATACTTACAGTTAATGTATTGATAGTAAAATATAAATTAATATAGATTTTATAAAAATTATTGATAGATAATTTAATATATATTATTAATAATATACATATTGAGTAAACAAAATGAACTTTTCAAATAAATATATTGGAGTTAATAAACAAATATTTATATATAAAAAATTATATAAGTAATTTGAATTTGTATTAATATATGAATATTATATATTATAAATAAGTAAATATTTTTTTTTATAAATATACAAATAATATGATTTTAAGGACTTTTTATGGTTTTATCTGACTTTTGATTGACAGTTGTCTTAATTTTATGATAATCTGACACTTTTTTGTTAGGTTCGTCTCCGAGTACTAGAGTGGTCTCCGGTAGACCAAAAAAGGTGACGTAAATCCAAGCGCCGCATATAAAGCCTAATACTGTTGACAATTGTTGTGATAACCAAAACAAATAAGAAAATTGTCTGAAAAAATTGAAAGCAAAAAACAATAATATTTACTGATACCATGTTTTGTCAATTAGACTATAAATATCACACAAATACAAACCCGAAAGCCTTTTCAAAGCCCACTATAAAAGCCGCGTACAGTCGTGTCCCTAAATCGCGTGCTATTGTTGTTGCAAATATAGAAAGTAAAGTATATTATTAATACTGTAGAGTGTGAGATGTCATCCAAAATTTTTTAATGACATCTAACACATACCCGGATTAAAAGGAACTCCGTTTTTGTTGATCACATGAAAAAAGATAAGACTGAAGAGAAAAAATGAACACATAATGGGCTGAAAGTGACGGCCCATTGGATTGCCTTTTGTGTCTAATGTGGCGAACAATACCAACGAATAGAGAAAACATGAAATAAAACTATCGATGAAAGACATTGTCAGTCCATTGATTTCCTTATGAGGTGACGGTATCATTGCGTAACCGATGTAAAACTCTTTTAGTTCAGGGGTTGGCATATATTCATAAAACATTAGATGTGTGGAACCGGCACTTAGAATAACAGCTAAATACTGGGCCGGTAGCAAATGTAACAGACTTTTCCTAAAAAAATGTTAGAAAATAGATTTTATGATTATATATTTTTAAAAAATTATCTAGCTAAATTAGGTTAATTTTACCAACTCAAACGTGAAAGAGTGGCCATTGCAATACTGATACCAGGGTTATGATAACCACCTAATATTTGTTGTGAAATTTTATTTTATATTATTACCGTATATTTAGTGATGTATACAGTATTACAGTAGTTAACTACTGTCTAATTTTATTTATGTAAAATATTAGATGGTATTACCGGATATCGGTAACGACAAGACAAGTCCAGCAAACGTACCGGAAGCCCACGTAAAGGCAATCATTATTATCTTAAGGCCAACTAAATCAATATTATAAACTATTGTAGACTGTCTTCGGCCCAAACAAGACGTATCATTTTTTGGTAGACTTTTACAGTATTCATAACCCGATTCTGTATAAATTCTGGTCGCATAACTGGGCAATATGTTGACCACAAACAGAGAGCACAGTCCTAATAACTAATAAAAAATACACAGTAATTATTATTGAGTGTTAAGATTGAGATTTTTTGAGAATTTGATTTAAAAAATATATATATTTTCATAATTGTCTAACAATTTGAACGAATGTTCCCAAAACTTCGGCTATAAATTCGCGGACAATAACCGGCATATCATAGATAAACGGTTTGCTTTCATCGAAATCCATTGTATCATTAAAAACGAATAATAAATAATTATATTTTAGATATTTATGCAAAAATAAATATCTTTTAAAATAAATTTAATTACAAAATTAATATACTCGTGATTTTTAATCAATTGTATTTCAATTACAGTATAATTTCATATAAATTATAATAAACTATATATTTATGTGAAAATATATTAAAGCACTTATTAATAGTCAATTTAAATTATATAAAAAAGTAATATTAAAACTATATACAGGAGAACTAGATTTTTAATTGCTTACATAACAAGAAAATTATTTTTATGAACTTATTTTCTAAACAACATAATTAACAATTTTCAAATAAAAAGTGCTAATGTTTTGTGAATATACATTAGTATTATTTATTGAAAAAATAAAATAACAAAAATATAAAATGTTAGTCAATAAAATAATATACCAGTAATTTATGTAAAATACAAATTATAATAAATCAACAAATATCAATATATAAATACCGGTACTGTATAATAATAGAAATAAATATGTTTACGATATATGTATTGATAAGTTGTATCACAAATATAAAGTATTATAAAAATAATTTTATAAAAACAAAGACTAATATTATAATCAATTGATAATCAAATTTAAAAAATAATTTGGAAAATTAAATTAATATAATTATAAACCAATGAATAAGTAATTGAATTAATTAATTAAAATTGAAATAAAAACAAATATTAATCGACAGTTTTATGAAGTTTTTAGACTTCATTTGAATGCATTAAAGGATTTGTGGCTTAATTTTGAACGCTTTTTGGTTTTTGTCCGCCATCGCCATCAGCACCGGTATATAAAAACCGATGAACAACACCGGCCAGACCGCCGCCAATGAGTGGTCCGACCCAATACACCTGTTATTAAACAAAATAATAGTTTAAAATAGGTTTATAGACAAACATTTGTTTGATGATTGACATACGTAATGATCTTTCCATTTGTTTTTGATGACCGCCGGTCCAAAAGCTCGGGCCGTATTCATGGAAGCGCCAGTCAATGGTACCTATTATTGTAAAATTTCAATTTATTAAATTTAAAATAAATTGATTGAAAACTAGATTTAAATACTTACTGCAAACAGATGTCCAGCAGTGAGGGCCAGTCCTATGATAGGTGCCGGACACAGGTTAGACTCGGCAACCGTACAGATAACCAAAACAAACAGAAATGTAATGACAAATTCAATGATAATGCCTTTCCACCAGGACACACCAATGGACAGTTCACAGTGACAGATACCATACTCAACAACATACTCAACACCTAATAAATCGGGGTTCTTTGGCAATACTGCATATAAGAGTCCGGCACCGGCCAAACTACCCAACACTTGGACGACAACATAAGCAACAGCCGATATGATATCGACCTTTCCATCGATCAAAAGGCCTACAGTTACGGCTGGATTTACATGACAACCGGATAGTGGACCCAAAGCGGCAATCAAACTCATTAGTGTCAGACCAAATGCCAGTGCAGTCTGGACAGTAGCCTTTCCTAATGCACAGCTACCGCAACCAAACATCACCAAAACAGTGGTACCGATAAACTCGGCGGCCGCCGCCCGAACCAATCGGCCGTACTTTGAATCAAACAATTCGTTCATCACTTTGTGATTTCAAAACTGAACACTTGTTTGTTGGTATAATAATGACTGAACCAAATGAAATTGTTTCAACAATTAATTAATTATCAAATCTGTTTTGTATCCGATTTGTGGTCAGTTGTTTGTCATAAAAAACAGTTAAAAATTATATCAAATAAATCTTAAATTACAACAGTTTTTCCAACAAATGCACTGAAAAAACAAATAGAATACAGAATATTGAATAATGAATATTGACTTACAGTTTATTAATAGTTTTTTTTTGAATTTTTAAATTTACGCTTTTTTATAGCGCGCGTCAAATGTGTTTGATTTAATAAAATAGTTAATAATTTGATTAAACACGTGAACAACTTTATTATATTAGTTGAAAAAATAAATTAATAAAATTTTATTACTGAATGTACTAAATATAAAAATTTGATTACAATATTATTTACATTGAAAAACAAAATATTAAGATTAAAAAGCATAATAGAAAATACAAAAACTCTATTTTACAATAAAATGAATACTTGAAAATTAAAATCAATATTTGTTTTATGAAATGCTATCCTTTTCATAGTAATCATTGTCCGATAGATAGACATCTGAATCTTCTTCATTGATATCAAGCATTTCCATCAGTGCCTCCATTGGAGTCAATTGTAGACCATTTGATTCTTGACTTAGATTTACTGAATTATCATCTTTTTCAGTGAAATTGTTAGCAAAATGGCAACCAGACTGTGCCATAAACTCATCTAAAGAATATACAGAACTGTCGGCACCAATCAGTTCAAAGTGATCAACATTTCGAAGATAAGCTCCTTTATTGATCACCACATAGTCATTGGTAGAAAGTTTTATTGATTTAACAATCAGATCATCGGACATATCACTGGGATAGACAAGTCGTGTCCAAAATACTGAATAATCTTCAATGAGAAGACACGCACCACTCAAAAGTAGTATCAATGGACACAATTGACCTGTGGATGACTGACAGAAAAGCTTTTCTTTCTGAATGAATGCCAAACCAGCCGACCGATGACCGGTCACATAGTTTGTCTCATTGGATATCAATGATTGGATATCGAGATTTGTGGTAATTGCTGATGAAATAATATCCCACTTGTGATCTCTGTTGAAGTGACAAACAGTACCGTCGGAAACCACACAATCGACACGTCCGACTAAATGACATTCACCCGTACCGTCAATAACCACTCCATAGAGCGATCGATTGTCGGTCACCAAATAAGGTGCCGGCGCTCGAGGACCTAACTCTTCTAAATATTTGGTCGTCTCTTCGCAGTCAAAAAGCAAGCCATCGGTATTAAGCAAATGCTGTACCGATTCGTATGAATAGCCAATTAGATGAAGCACTTGTTCAACGGTTGCGTCAATCACTTCGACGACATCTGTGACCATATGATTAGTCAGATCGCTAGACAACTGGCCATTGTTTGTGATTAAAACACTTGTTCCCAATCTAATACATGACTTTTTATTTGTTGCTATTTGTCTATTGACATCAGTGGTGCAGTTATTGTCACCGGAGAGAGACATTAAAGTATGAGTTTGTGGTCTATTAAATAATCACTAAATAACTAATGTCTCAACTATTATATTGCAAATCTAGTTATTATTGATTTCAAACTAATTTAATATTAAATAATATTTGAATAATAATTTAATAAATTTCATGTCTCGAGAATATAAATAGACATTTTTAATATTACAGAAATTATTTTTTTTAATACTATATTTATGATTTTGTTTTGTTTTTTATTTTTGTTTAGGATAACTTATGTAATTAATTTTATTTTAAATTTATTTTCAGTAAATTAAATATGTCAACAATGATAGATGACATTAGAGTTGTTTTTATATAGAAATATTAAAATATCAATTTAATGTCCCTGAGCTCATTTTAATTATTATATTACTATATATACAGTAATAATAAAAAAATAATATAATTAGATTTTTCTTTAGTTAAATCAAATCAACATTTTTTTGCATTGATGTAAAACTAACTCATATGACTTCAATGTTAGTTAAATAAATAAAAATTATATAAATCCATGAAATACTCAGTGAATATACTAATAAAAACTGTGTTTATTTATTTTTATTAATATTCATAAACAAATTTGACAAAACAAAACAAAACTTATAATTTATAGATAAATAAAATAGTTATTTTAGTAAAAGATATTAGTATAGTATTAAATTAAAAAAATTATTAAATACAACACTTTTAATTTGCAAACACTTTTTAATGTTTAGACAAAAAATTGTTTAAATGTTTTCGCACATATCGTAGGGCTGTAGTCTCGATATAGGGCTCACAAGTCATATTTGAACAGTCCTTCAATTGATAGGGTGGTCTGATTTTGACCATTCCGTTAACTACTATATCTTTGTCCGCAAGATTAACACCACTTTTATCGAAGATCTTATAAAAATACAAAAACAATTGAATACCGAAATCACTTATACCAGAGACAAATGCTTTGTGAACATTTCGGCGATCATTGATGGCCTGATTGAGCCGATACTGAATGCAGTCAGTCATTAGTGGTAACAGATTACTAGTGGCCGCCATCTCGGGTTTGACAGCCGATAAAATGGTCACTTGTTTTACATTATCAAGATTTACAAAAGTCATGTTACAGTGTCTGTTGAGACCATCGTCCGACACACTCTTGATTGTTAATATACGATACCGATAGTCGTAGGCCATGACTATACCAGTGAACATCTCATCACTTATGGTTAGACACGAGACACGACTACCCGCCGTAAACATGAGTTCATTGTTATTGGTGTTGTTGTTGTTGTCACTGATTGACATAATTGGTGGTCAAATATATGACTTTGATTTAATTATAAACAATTTTATCACTAAATATTTATACCACTAACTATATCTTTTAGTCTAAATATAATTTATTATTTTACGTAATGTTTATTTATAAATATTATAAAAAAAAATAAAACTATTAGAAAACTTTAGATTAAACACAAAAATAGTTTTACTATCGTTTAGGTTAACATAAAAGTCATAATTTTTTGGTATTAATACTAAAGGTTTATAGATTTTATATGTTTTGACATATTTCGAGGTCTAATAATATATCTCTTAGTTTTATTTGAACAATATTTTGCTGTTAAATACATATTGATTTTCATTTTATTATTAACACATAAATAATAATAATAGTAATAATAATTACATATATTTAAAGCATTTTTTGGCTTTGGATATATATGACTAAACCATATCATTGGTATAACACTCAAACTTTGTCATCAAAGTTAATGCAATCCGAGAGTCCATAGTGTTATAATCAGATATTATTATTATTATTATTATTATTATTAATGGTCTAATAAGTCTAGTCTAAACCAAGTTATTTATGAAAATTAGATTATCTATATATTTCAGTTTAATAGGTTGTCATAAAAAATTATGATATTTAATATGACAATAAAATTAAACTCATATCATATCTTATATAAATTTGATAATATATTTGTCAAACAATTTTCACATTTCAATAGCAGTAGTAGTAAAAGCAAATATCAAACAAATGCCCAGTTTATGATAACAATAACTTTTAAAAATCTTATGAATGCAATCTATGTTATATATAATATAAAATATGATTTCGATATTATTTAAATTATTTTCAACATTTATTTTTGATTTACATAGCACAGTATAAAAAATTTAATATTATTTAAATAGTTTTTCAAAAACATTTTAAAAAATAGATTATTTTTTTTAAAAATGATGTTTAGAGGAATTCACAAAAATTGACAAAAATGTTAGGTATTATTATTTATACAATACTGTATATATGAAAATTCCTTTAATATTTTTAAAAATATTCATAATAGTTGATTGACAACCAAAATATTTAAATAAAATTTTATGCATTTATTAAAAAATATTTTTATAATATAAAATAATATATTATTATAATAGAATATATGTATTATGCTTACAATTTAGTTAATTATGCAATCATATTAAGTTTGAAAATTTGTTGATTACATAATAAAATTAAAATAAACTAAAAATATTTGTTGCAATATAATGAAATTCATAATAGAAAATAAATCTTTTTTATTTTTTATAAAACAAATAATATTATAAATAAAAAATAAATATTAAATAAATAATAAAAAATAAAAGTATCCTTGAAATTTATGCATAATTTATATCAATTATATGAACAGTTATATTGTGAATAAAATTATCACTGATAATCGCAATTATAATAGACACCATTTTGAATAATTTATTTAAAATATAACTTTTTTAGTTAAAACTTAAGTACAAAACTTATAATTAATTATAATATAAAAATTTAATTAACTTGTTTTATATTATTAAGATTTTAATTTGATAAGCTTTTATAATTTAGTATATTTAATAAAATTAGTTTATTAAATGTCATCAAATTTTTATGAGACAGATCTCCGTACTATTAAACCATTGATTGGTCGGACATCGGATGATATTCAGCAGAGATGTCATTATTTATGTGCAAATTATTTGAACGGCATTTGGTCTGTGACTAAACCGGAAGACATTGTAATTGAGAGGATCAGCGGTGGTATGTCTAACCAGTTATACCACTGTACTCTTCCTGGTCACAAAGTCATTAATGATGAGCCAAATGAAGTAGTGGTCAGACTGTATAAAGAAAATATCGCCAGTGATCGACACAATGACACTGTTATTGGATTATTGATGTCTGAGTACGGGTTGGGACCAAAAATTCACGGATCGTTTCCTGAAGGGGTTATTCAACAATATATACAAGTATTAGAAGTTTATTAAATGATTATAACTTATTTAATGTATTAGAAAAACATTTGTCAATAGCACCGACAGTTTGGCATTCAGGAACAAAATGATGAAAAACTAGTGCTAGAGTTGGCCCGAAAGCTGGCTGTACTTCACTCAATGAAAGTGCCTCTCAATCGGCGCCAAAATTGGTTGTTAAACACAATTGATAAGAAAATGCAAATCGCGTATCAAATGTCACCACCGATTGACAAACTTATTGATGAACTCAAACTGGATTTATTGACAACCGATCGGCTAAATGAAGAGCTATTGTGGATCAGACAACTGACAATAGTTACCGATTGTCCCGTTTGTTTTACACACAATGATTTCAAGAGCGACAATATTATGGTTATCGGCAATGAATGCGATGTCAACTCAAATTTGATATCAAACCGACTATTATTTTGTGACTTTGAATACTCGGGTTACGGACTTCGGGGCTACGATTTTGGTACACTATTTGCCGAATGGAATCGCTGTTTGCCTAACGATTATAAAAATCTTCAGAAGTTTCCGGACGACAACCAATTGAAACCATTTGTCGACGAATACTATCGCGAATCGGTTCGTCTGGCAGGCAGTGGGTTCGCAACCGACTCGCGAAACTCGTACCAAAATATTGTCAATGAAATCAAAGTCTTTACACTCGTGTCCAACATTTTCATGACAATCGCTACGTTAGCTTTTGATGTCCATAATTGTCCAGAAATGCCATTTCTAACAAAATCTGTTTTAATGGTATCTATTATTTTATTTTAAGAAATAATGGTAACAAATATAATAAATTTTTATTAATATTTTTTTCAATATAGATTAGTGCAAATCAACATTTTAAAAATTATTTTAACTTGAAACAAAAATTTATTCAAGATAAATGTTTTAAATAATTATTTTTATAAAATATTTATATAATATATTACATAAAATAATTATAGGATGCATTGTTACTTAGTTTTAATAAACATAATTTATTAAAAAATAAATGATATTACTATAATATAGTAACTATATTGATATATAATATTTGTATTTGAAGTATGTTAACGTAATTACAAATTTTATTTATGATATATTGTAGAAAATATTCATTGTATAAATTTTATATTTATTTTTTAAAAAAATTTACTATTAGTTAATTATATATAGATTATTAAATAAAAATATGTGTTTCACATTATTTATTAAAGTGTTAATTTTTTAAGTTTTTTATTTATATAATTATTAATTTTCCACAAATTTTTTAGTGTTAATGGATAGGAAATTTCCACTACTAAAGTAGTACTTAAAGCTTATTTTTAAAAAATATTTTAAGCTTATAATTGTTGAATGATTACTATAAATAAAGTAACTACATGTCTATATACTGTAGTAAATTGATTGTAATAAATTATTAGCAAATGACCCTGAATATAAATTCTTAGTAGCCATACATGTTTTTCCAGTATTATTGTTATTATTATTAATATGATTATCATTACTTAATAATTATCTGTAAACTAGACATACAAATGAGATCCCACTTCAAAATAGATATCCCATTATCCGACAACTATCCGATATTTGCAGTGATATAATATAATTGATATTTTAATAAACTATTATTAATTCATACTGGATTGGGATTTGAAATTTTAAAAAATACAATAAAAAACGATAATCAAGTGCTTTAATATCAATTAATAATAGTTTTTAAAATCGTAAAACAAAGTTTTAAACTTCACAAATAATTGTATATAAAAAACAAAATTTAAAAATTATATATGATTAAAATCTTATTTATAAAATTTGATTTCATAATTTAGTTAAAAAACTATAATTTATTTTGGACTGAGGTTTGGGATAGGAAACAAAGATTAAAATTTCAAAATGTCACAACTCTATTGTGAACAATTTGTAATTTATACCTGGTATTTTTAGTGTAGGCGACAATGTGATAATTATTGATGTTATTATTAATACATAATAAACATTAATATACAAACTTTAAAAATTTAATTTTTATTAACATATTTACAAATTCTAATTTTTTAAAAAATACTAAATATTACTATATTTAGTGCAAGTTTAAAGTTATTGTAATATACTTTTTTTAAATAAATAATATAATTGAAATACAATATACTCTTTTATATTATATAAAGATATTATTAATAAACATGTTTATTACAATTGTGTCGTCATATGTTAAAATAATATTATTATAAATTAAGTTTTTTAATTAAAAATTGTTTTATTTATTTTTTGTTTAAACACTGAAAAGTTAACTGTATTATCATAATTATGTGAATTATGCAATTAAACATTTTCTGTATTATTTTCTCATTAAATATTTTTCTTATTTTACTGCTGTTTTATGAATCAAATTGTAATAAAAATGGTATGTATTTTATGTAAGCAAACAAATAATTAAATTTCTATAAATAAATCTATTATACAGAGCGACGTTTATTACCTGTTTATAGTGACGACATAACAGATGAAAGAGAGCGACGAGTCAATGATGAGGACAGGTATGATAGCTATGATCGGTCGTCAGGGTCTACGACTCGGCGACCGAAAAAAACTGGTAATTCGGGCAAAAGAGATGACAGACAATCAGGCGGTGTAACACCCGGTCAGTCAAAGAAACAGAGCAACAATTGGGATTCCGTTAGTGAGGGAACAGTAGTTAACAATAGAGAATATGTAAATAATTTTTTATATTCAATTGTAATAAATAGTATTGTTTTGTATAATAAATTGTATAATAATTTTTTTGTCTATTTATTAGAGTAAAAATAACAGAAATAATAGTAGTGGTAGTAGTAGTAGTAGTAGTAGTGGTAGTAGTAGTGGTAAAAATAATAATAATAATAACAATAGAAATAAGAAACCTAAGACTAAAACAAACAGAAACAATAGTCGTTCCGCAACTACTGAACCAAAATCATCACAGAATGATGAAGAATTGGAGGACACTTACGAGGAAACGACTGCCGATTCATCTCCAGACATATCTCTGGCCGATTGGAAATCAGTTGAGCGGCTGAAACATCACTGGGAGAACACGGCTCACACCAAAAGCGAATTAAGCCGTAAGTTTGTATTCTGGTTGGACAGAACTACCAGCTATCGGCGATACGATGCCTGTCTGACACCAGAAAATGCATTAGGAAGTTGTCATTTTGTACAACACTGTCCAATACTGGATGTCATCAGAAGTTTCGATAAGTTCTTGTCATACGTGTGTTTCATACGAAACCGTTATGTCGGCATCTGTTGTCCCGACGATTATCTGACACCAGTAGATGTTAAACCACTTGGAAGACCATCTCGTGTTCAGTCTCAGACAACTAGACGTCCGACTCGAGAGGTTTCGACAACAAAGAGACGACAGGTATTACGACCGCAAATACCGGTTCAGAACGATAATGGCAGCGATGGAAGTGATTATTATAATGGAAGTCAGTATTTGCTATAAAAACTGTTATATTTAAAAAAAATAATTTTATGTTTGCATAGTTTGTGGTGTTTCCGAAAATACTCGTATAATAGGCGGTGCTTTAGCCAACCCTAAGGACTGGATATGGATGGTATGTTTAGTTAGTGATTATATTGTGTAATAATAATTTATTATAATAACAATTGTATAAACAGGCGGCACTATTACTCAAATCACAGACCCAGCCCTACTGTGGCGGTGCTCTCGTAACCAATCAGCACATACTAACGGCTGCCCACTGTCTCAAAGAGTAAATATCTGTTTAATTAGTTTATAAAAGAAATAAATAATAATTTTTAAACTCATTTTAAGTCTAACACCAGAAGACATAATTATCCGATTGGGTGCCTATGACTTCAGTGCATCTGCCGATCCCGAAGCGCAAGACTTTGTGGTCGATTACTTCAAAATACATCCAAAATATAATCGACAAACTTATGATAACGATATGGCAATCGTTAAACTCAGGACTAAAACACGGTTTACTGATAGCGTTAAACCTATTTGTTTGCCTCAAAAGAATCGTAACTACGCGGGACAGTTGGCTCTTGTGACCGGTTGGGGACACACAACGTTTAATGGCAAAAACAGTCCTAAACTAAGACAGGTATCGTTACCCGTATGGAACAACACGGCCTGCGATTCGGTATTCAGTACGGCCATCACTGACCAGATGTTGTGCGCCGGCAATCCGGCCGGCGGTAAAGACTCGTGTCAGGGCGACTCTGGCGGACCACTGATGATAACGGGTCCGAACAAACGCTGGATGATAATTGGTGTCGTGTCGTGGGGTGTCAATTGTGGCCGACCTAACAGTCCAGGTGTATACAGTCGGGTCAGTCGGTTCATCGATTGGGTGCAACAAAATACTCGCGATATTTGATTTTCAATTACAATTATTTTGCTAATTTAAATTTTAAAAAACATAATTTATAAATACTGTATATGACTAAAATATTTAAAAAAAATTAAAATGGGATAATTTAGGTAATTTTACGAGAAATTATTTATATTTAACAATTATAATACTTATTTTGTTGTATAATATATTGATAATACGGTATACCCTAAAGTGTAAATTTATAAAGATATTTTACACTCAATATCTGTATCAAAATAATGATCCATAATTTTAGTTGTTTTTTTATTTTTTATTTATCAGTTATAAAATAAAATTGTAAGACTATTATTTTATTTTTAAAAAATAAAATATTTTAGTTTACATTTACTGTATGGACTATTTTATTAACTATATTATTATATACTACTGTATGGAATAAACTATTTTATATAAAAACTAAATTATTAAACAAGTAATTCATTAAATCAATTGATTGTTTTTGTTAATATATTAAAGTACAATATAAAGTTTGTATATTTAAATAATAATTTTTATGAAAAATATTGTAATTAGTTTATAAATAAAATAAGTAATAAATAATTGCTAAAGTTATCACGATAAAATCTAATTTATTTTATTTTTGCTAGTAATTCATTAAATCAATTGATTGTTTTTGTTAATATATTAAAATACAATATAAAGTTTGTATATTTAAATAATAATTTTTATGAAAAATATTGTAATTAGTTTATAAGTAAAATAAGTAATAAGAAATTGCTAAAGTTATCACGATAAAATCTAATTTATTTTATTTTTGCTAGTAATTCATAAAAATAAAAGAAAAAATAATATAATTACAATTACTAATCTATTTATGCATTTATTTTATATATCATATTATGTAAAATAATTTTTATTTTTTATAATTTCTATAAATATATCGCATATTAAGGTTTAAATATTTAATATTTTTGAATAATAATTATATTAATATTAATTAATTGAAATATATTTTCATCAGATATTAATCTTGTTTTATAATTTTGATTAATTGTATATTACTGTTAATATAATGACAATGAGGGCAACTATTCAACAATTGGAGGGTTTAATGTATGGATATTTTATGTCAATATACGACAGCAGCGATAGCTATGTATTGTTACATAAAGCAGCAAAACTAAGAGTTTTCAAAATATTTATAATAAATTTAATATTATTTATCATTTGTTTAAAATTTACGGCAACAGCTATTGTAGATGAAGTAAATTTTTATTATTTTCAATTTAAAAAAAAATTAATTAAATTTATTTTATACAGATATGGTTTTATGAGCTACTAAGTGATCCCAGCTATACTCTAAGTGATTCATCGTTGCTCCCATTATTACAATGTATTGTATCTTATATAGCGTTAATGACATCCAGTGTTTTTAATTTACAGGAATATCAACAAAAATTATATTTTTATAACTTTTTATATAACATTAAATATAATATATTAAATCATATGCTTTCTACTAAAGATTTACAAAATTATAAGTCAAACATTAAAATGTTTGTCAAATTGATACCACTGATGATTTATTTGTCAACATTTGTATCGATGACTATTATAGTCTATAGCTCTTACTTGACATTTATATACGATTACGACACTAGTATATCATTTTGGAAGATAATAGGGTTAATAATAGGTTTAACATTATTTATATTTTTGGCAATAAAAAGTTTTACATTAGTATTCATTGGTTCCACTCTATGGTATATATTAGCAGGTTTTGCAAAATATAAATTTCGTAATATTTATAAAAAACTTTCAACTATTTTTCATAAGACAAACAAATGGCAAATAGTATGCAATCGGAAAAAAATTATAAAATTGATTAATGACCATGCTCAGTTTTGTAAAATTATCGATGATTGTAATCATTTATTAAGATGTATGACATTTATATTGTATTTTATTGTAACACCAGCCTTACTAATGGCAATCTATAGTACATTTCATATCGATAACATATTTGCTTCAAAATTATTTAACTCATATCTTGTTTTATTTGTATTAACAGTAGTTATCTCAATGAATATAATGAGCACTTGGATTAGCAAATCAGCACATTTTCCATTAAATTTATTAAATAGTTTTATTGCAAAACACCCGACAATGTCGATACAGATGCGCCTAAAATTGCTTATATATGTGGAGCGTCTGTCGGGTCCGACAATTGGTATATATTGTTATGATTTATTTCCTATGAATAGTATTGAATTTTATCATTATCTGTATATTTGTGGCCAATTAATGATATTATTAATGTCATTCATTTAACTAATATTTTTATTTAATATTAATTTCAACTTATCTAATAATTATTAATTATTTTAATCAATATCTAAATGTATTAAAATAAATAATAAACTTGTGTAACAAGCATTAATTATTCAAATAATAAAATATGTATTTTGTTAATTATATATAAATATTTTAATAAATGTTCATAAAAATATAAATTATAATTGAAAAAGCACTATAAAATAATATTTAAGATATTGTAATTAGTTCAGAAATAAATCTATATTATTCATTATTATTAATAACTAATGTTATCACGTTAAAATTTAATTAATATATTATTAAATATTAAATTAATATTCTATTAATATTATACATTATTATTATTATGATTTTTATTATTTCTATCAAATATTAAAATAGTATAAATAAATATTTTGCCAGATTTTACTGTATATTAAATTGGTTACTAAAATAGTACTATAGATTTATAATTAATATATTGTAAATGTTAATGAAATCAATAATAATAATAATAGACACCAATTAAAGCAAAAAATGTATCGGTCTTTTATGACAATATAAGTTACGACAGCACCGATACCTTAGTATTGGGAGTTTTTTTTTGGAGGAACAGATAGCTTATTGTAAATTTATCAAAATATTTTTTATCGTAACTAATAATTTAGTATTTATTTTAAAATAACTTTTATAACTTAACTTTTATTTGTAACTTTTTATACAACATTAAATATGATATATTGAATCATATGCTATCTACTAATAACTTTTAACAAAAAAAAAATTAAAATTTTAAGTGAATGTCTATTAAAATAAGTATTATTTGTAAATAATTATTCACTATAAATATAATAAAATTAAGTTTAATTGATGTAAATGAAGTAATAGTACACAATATAAATATAATGCATAATTAAATGTTTGGTAAATATTATATTAATTTTTATTGTTAGCTAAACAGGTTTTCTTGCAGTAATATTAGCAGATATAACATAATCTTCGAGACCCAAACCGGGCGCCCAATCTTTTATGAAGTGTCTGCTCTCATCTTTAGGCACTATCTTAATGTCAACAAATCCAGCGCACATTAAATACATTTCCAGATCATTAATTAAAGTGGCACCGGCTATACACCCGGACCATAGACTCATATCTTGACGAATATCTTTAGGTATGTCAACACTGGTCACGACATCCGAAATAGCGAGTCGACCGTTGGGTCGCAACACACGATATGCTTCGGTAAACGCTTTGGCTTTATTTGGCACCAAATTGATCACACAGTTTGATATAATCACATCAATCGTTTCGTTATCGACTGGCATGTCCTCAATCTGACCCAAACGGAACTCTACATTTTGGTGACCACTTTTTAAGGCATTTGCTTGTGCTTTGTCTACCATTTCTGGTATCATATCGATACCAATCACTCGACCACTAGATCCTACAACACGGGCCACAATGAAAGCGTCGAAACCGGCACCCGAACCCATATCCAACACAGTTTCACCCACTTTGATATTTGCCATTTGGCTTGGATTACCACATCCTAGACCAAGATTAGCACCTTTAGGTATATGTGCCAATTGTTCTTTAGTATAGCCCAATTTGTTGGCATAATTCGTATCTGTATTCGGCACAAAACAGGATCCATTGACACCGCAACAATCAACCGGTGCTGTCTTATCGCTGGTCACTATTTTGACGTAGTGTTGGCGTACGACTTCACGGATCATATCGTCAGTAGATGTCTGTATTTGCACCGTTGGTTTACAGCAAGAAACTGGAGCTGAATAGCAATTCATTTTCTACAAATTAATTATAATAGTTCATGTATTATAAACACTTTTATATTTGAAAACTGAATTTATATACTTTATAAAAAATTTAAATTTTAACTATGTACTGTATATAGGATATTTTAAATTTATTATATAAATATATATAATCTTTTATAAATAAACTAAAATTTTTAATATACTAAATATTTTTTAAATTATAATCATCAAAAAAATTATCACATGTTTATTGTACTGAGCAATGAGTGATTATATATATATTTATAGTTATGTATAAAAATTAATGTTTCACGTGTATGTTTCTCATATAATAGAAGCAATGTACATTTTATAATTTTAGATTTTTTTATCAGTATTACAATTTTAAAAAACTTTGAACTTCAAACTTTTAAGTTTAAACTTTTATAAATATATATTGACCAAAATTATTTTATAAATTATATAAATAAAATAAAGTTTGATTAAAATATTTGCATAACTTATTAATATTATATTAGTAAATAATTTTACTAAATGTGTACTTAAAACTTCTTTTAATATAACATTTAAATAAATTATTTATTTTTGCATAAATATCTTTAATGTTTTGTCTCTTAATTGTTTATACTTTTATAATACTGTAATAATAATACATAACAATATTAAACATTATACTAAATAAATAGTACTGTATATTAAGCAAATTGATTAATTAAAAAAAAAATTAATTTTTATTTGATTAATTAGTACTAAAATAACAAAAAAAACAAAAATAACTAAACTGTAATATTTTATGTTTGTCTATTTTTATTTAAATATTATTGATAATATTAATTACTTTGATTTAATTTTATCAATGTTTTATTAGTAGTAAATAAAATAAACATTTGCATAAGTTTTACTACATATTTTATTATGAATAAATATTATTTCAATATAACAATTGTTTGTCTAACAAATAAAGCACTTCCTAATCACGACAAATATTGTATCAAATAAACAAATGGATAATAATATAAACTATAGGTAATCGTGATTATAAAAATATGCAATTTTTGTATAAATATGACTGACAAAAAATATAATTTTCATTTATTTAATATTAATATATATAAAAAAAAGTTTATTTATTTATTATATAATATTTAGTTATTTGTTGAATAGTTAATTATTAAATAATTATGAAGTTTTATTTATTAATTCTATCAATAATTTTGTTATTTTTCTATACTAATGGTAAGAAACTAAGGATCAAATAATTACAAAAAATTAGATATAATTTTTTTGTCTTTTAATTAGGCGCTCGACCGGCCAAACCTATCACCGGTGTCAATGTCAACGCAATACAGGAAACCAATGGACGGCCTCAATATATCAACCAATTTTCATTGTCTGTTAAATTTTTGACTACATTTCTCAAAGTAATTCAATCGCAAATCACTAATACTGTGAACACTTGGAACCCGAGTCGACCCAATCCGAGTAAAACAATTATTCTTATATTTTCTATGTTTTTATTTAAAGTAATAAATTTTCATTTAATTTAAATAGTTTTATCGGCTCTATTGGCTAATCCAAGTCTTATACCAATTGCATTGAAACGAATCAAAGAGCCGATCGCCGAAATGGTAACAATTATGGAGAAAATTGATACAATTTTGACCTCAACAGACAGTAGCACACAATTGGCTACAAATACAGAACTCCAGAAACTGTTACAACAACTGCACCGTCGATTGCAGTCCATGTTTGGTACACTCATACCGAACAGTGCTGTGTCGTTGGTCCGCAAACCTATGCCTACCGACGTACCGGCGCTCATGACTGACATCAACTCATTTGTTGAACAATTTTCCGCAACGTTTACAGTCTTCTCGCAATCAGTTGGCAAAAGTGTGTCAGCTGTTGGCGATAACCAACGAAATGGTGTCAATACTCTTAATAAGACAGAGATGTCCGCCGGTGTGGAACAACTATGCGATAGACTTCATTCATTGCTAAATCGTATGTCTATATTATTATTATTATTATTATTATTATTATTATTATTATTATTTGATAATTACAACAATTTTTTAAAACAATTTTGAATCCAATAATCTAATCAAAATGAATATTAGTTGTCGATATGATCGAAATGAATGGAGACGTCGGTAATCGTCAGATTCTTTCAGGACTGACAGAACTTATTACGTCTCTGATTACCGCAATTCCCGATTTGTTGGCTTCACTTTTTAATATATTGTTAGGATCAATCACCTTTTCTAATGGCGGACCCGCCACCACTGAAATCTATCAATCAATTGCCGACACTACTACTACTACTGATCGTATAGCTGTCATACCGTTTACCAATTGGACCAAAAATGGTGTTGAGTATCAAGGATTCGGTTTTATGGTCGACGGAAAATTGATGGTCACTAATGTTATGAATGCCGACAATAGTCGATATCATTTGTCTAAATCTGTTGATTCCGTTGAGATTTTGACACTCAAATCGCTTCAGTCGATGATGTCATCGCTGGTCATACATGTGAAGGATAGTTCCATCAGTCAGTCATTCAGAACCATTAGAGTATGTATTGTTACGAACAGACATATTATTTATGTGGTCTAACTATTAACTATATATACATTATATATCAATACTAATCAATACAGTGTCAAGTGGATGCACTTGGATGTTCATTGGCCAGTAACCAAAATTATACCCAGGTCCAATTATGCCTTCAAATTCAAAATAACGTAAGTATTTTAGAAAAAAAAACATTTTTTTAAACAACTTAAAAACTAATCTGGTTGAAAATTTTTTTAGTGCGCTGCCTCTGCATTTTACTAATTGACCAAGTACAATGATTGATCTCAATAGAAAAAAATTTATGATAACAATTTATATTTATTATCTTTAAGCTAAAATATTATTAGGATCTATAATGTTAGTTAATATTTTTATTTTAAATATTTATATATATATATATATTTTAATTGTGAAAACATATATTGTTATTTTTATTTATTGTTTGTCTATACTTTTAATTTTTGTATAATGTCTACTATTACTAATTAACTATACTTTGACTTTAATTTTCGGTTTGGTTTTGGGTTTAATGTATTTCATTTTATAAACAATAATATGTATTTATGGCATTTATATATATTTTTTAAATTTTATACAATTTTTAATTATTAATTATATTTTAGCTTAATTAATTTATATTTTTATGTAGCAATTTTTTAATTGTAATTAAAAATAAAAATTTATTGATCATTTTTAATTATGTTGTTATCAGAAAAATTTATTGAATTAAAAAATAAAAAATAAATTAACATCAATTGTAAAATATTAATCACCTTACCCAAATATGATAAAAAATGCTATAAAGTTTTATTAAAAACAAATAAACTAAATAATAATAATAATTAAATAATAATAAATAATAATCTAAATAAAAAATTTTATTCAATTTATTTGCAACATTTAAAAAAATTATAAATTATCAAATTATATAATATTTTTATAAAATAATTTATGACATAATATTTTAAATGGAGAAAATTATGCAACAAATATACAATAAATTAAGACATTATTTCTTATTAAATTAATATATTTTTATTAGATTATTGTTGAAAAATAATAATTGTTTAGTCAGTTAAGTTTCAATAGTTATAACTGGTATTGTTGACAAATCTTGAGCAATAACAAAATATGTTGTTATTTATATTAAAAAATTTAAATAAATATATATATATATATATTGTATTATATAATATTTGTAGTATAATTAGCCAGTTAGGTAAACTATAAAATATTTTTTTAAAAATAAATAACAGCAAAATATTTATATAAAATATAATATTCTAATAAATATCAAATAATGACTGATAGTACTAATCTAATAGTTTTGATAATACTTGGTTTCCTATTTGGCTCATTAATTGTGCTAACGTTTGTTATTGTCTATTATTTTTGTAATTATAAATCTTTTTAAAAATTAATATTAATTATTGCCATACAATCAATATTACTAATTTGCATTTCTCTCTCTCTCTCTCTCTCTCTCTCTCTCTCTCTCTCTCTCTCTCTCTCTCTCTCTCTGTCTATAAATCAATAAACAATCACTAAAATTGCTACAAAATAACTGGCAAACTATAGTATGCAATAATACTGATAACAATAATAGACAATTGATGGACAAGAAAAAGAGGTGTCGTTTGACACCCGATAAGTACGAAAAGTATTGCCGTATTGAAGCTAACAGTCCTTATAGACCGCCCGCTTTGGAAACCAAATCTTTTAGTGTAAAGACTCACTACTCCGACACTAAATAAAAATCTAATAATTATTTGAAATATTATATAATAAGTATAATTCAATGAATGCTAATTTATTTTTATCTTTTAAAAAAATATATTTTAATATATAAATGTAATAATTAATGTTTTATATGATATATTATTGTCTGTTCAATATTGATCGATGTTTTTTTCATAATTAATATTAAAATTTATAATGTATTTAATATAATTTATAAGATTAGCAAACAAATAATTTAAATAACAGGAAATCAGATAAAAAAATAAATCATAAATTAGTTTATTATTTAAAAACAATTGTTTATTATGTGCTATCAAATCTAAAAACAATATCTATTTATAAATGTTGTCCAAAATAAAAACGTGATTCAAACATATGTACATTAACTATAAAAACAAAAATATAAGTTACAATTTTGTTTATTGAATTGTTTTATTATAATGTAAACTTTGTAAACTACAGTAATTTATAAATAATTATTACATTATGTCAATAAAAATTAATTCAATACTTATTTTATTTATAATTATTGCAACAGTAAATGGTAAGTGATTGATAATAATATATGAATGATAAATAAATTGAATTATAAATTGTTAAATAATTAGTTAAAAAATCAAACACAAAAAGCGATGATAATATTGATGGCAAACAACAACAACAATTGTTGGGTCAATTGAAAAAGCAAATAAAATTTTTGTCAACATTTCTAAATAATGTCCAAACTTTTATTAATGGCACTAATAATAACAATAATACTTTATCGGCGCCGGGTTTGTAGCTAAATATATATACACACAGTATATATAAAATTATATTTAAAATAATATTTGTTTTCTTAATTTATTTGATTTTGAAATTGTACAGTTGCTCAGCTTATGTCACAAATAAATCAACAAACATTAAACGAAATGCGAGCACCGGTAGCTGAAATGATTGGCATCATTAATAAAATTAATAAATTATTAGTCAGCAATAATCCTATTACACAGATTATGAATTTACAACAAGTGCTAAAACTGGCTCAACAATTGCAACAATTGTTTATGAAAACTTTTGGTACATTAAAACCGATTAATCAAAATCTAATCGCTAGAATACCCGGTATAGGTATTCCCGGAATTGGGAATTTAGGAGAAATAGTCGGCAATTTTGCCACAACACTGGCACAGTTTGCATCGTTTGCGGCCTTGTTTTTTCAATCGGTTGGCGGAATGGCTGGTGCTTTGAGTGCCGGTGGTGGTAGTGGTGGTGGTGGTGGTGTTAGCTCAACTAAACCAATTTCTAGTGTTGATATTGACTCTATTTTAGGCCCGGGAGCTGCAGATCCCTTATTTTTCTGGAATCAGAGTACAGTCAAAATGAATCGCATTTGTGCTAACTTACAGGCCTTTGAAAATATACGTTAGTTTTAATTAAATAAACTGTGAATACAGTATATTATTTTATTTATACTATATTTTTTGCTTCTCATATATAAATTTAGGCACAAATCTGAACACTACTGGCCTCCAATCGAGCCTATACTACGGTTTTCTAAGCGATAATTTAGGCTCAGTTGGCGTTACAATTGAAGAAGTTTTCGAGCGATTGGTTGTCAGGTTTTTGAGTTCAGTTACCGATCTGTACTCAAATTTTGTGCCACAACTCGCCGATGACGACGACCTGACAAACAAAGTACGACCTATTCTGTTGCCACTAACCAGTCGTCGACACAAAGACTTGGAGCAAACGAGCTTCGGGTTTGTCAACAATCGAAACAAATTGTTTTTATTGAATATTATGTCCAAAAACTTGTCGACACCCGTCAACTATAACAAGTTGGTCAACAATAACAACAGCTACGATCTGACCGGCAATCGCAAGGCTTATGTGAGCCGTATGTCTATGTATTCGCTACAGTCTCTGATGGCATCGTTGGCCAAACAGCTGAAAGTGGGCACAGATGTCAAGTATAGGAGTGCAGTGACGGTATGTGTCAAGTGTTACACAGATTTTAATCTTTAATACAATTTATCTATTTATTAATTTATTATAATTCAATGTTTTTTTCTTATGTCTTATTAGTGTCCAATTGATAGTCTCGAGTGTATACTAAAACATGAATCATATGAGTCTGGAGTAAAAGATTGTGTGAAAAATCTAACAAATGTATGTATAATATAAACTAAATGAAACAATCAGTTAATCACACCATTAATGAAGTCATGTTTTCTTTAGTAGATTTAATTAAGTTTTAATTTTAATCTAATTATTGGATTTTTTTTCTTATTTTTTTGTAGTGCATATCGACCCTAATTTTATAGATATATTATATCTATTTATTGGTAACCGATATTTTGCTGTCTATATTTTTTATTTTTAAAAAAGTACATTTCGTTCAATTTGAAATATTATTGTTTATCATAAATTTATTTACTGATACAAATGTTATATAAAAAAAATTGTTATATTAATTAATTTGTTTGTTAGTTAATTATATTTATAAGTAATTTATTATTACAAATGTATCATATACTGTATAATCTCGCAAATGATATGAATGTTATACAAAATTATAATTGATATGAATGTTATATAAAATATATATTTTTTATCAATAATTAAATCAAATAAACAGCACACGACAATTAATTATTTATATATATATATGAACTGTATTTAGTGGTATTGCAATGAAAAGATTTTTTAAAAATAATAAATTATTAAAACTGTAACATTAATAACCAATAATTTATTTTAAAATATATATATAATCAATGATTGTTGGTCATAAATTATATTTTCCTATAATGTATATCTACTAGAAAATTATACTGTATAAATGTTCAAACATTTACATTATTTTACGATAGATTAACAATTGGAAACATAAATGTTATTATGTTATTAATATTTATTATCATTATATTTGCTTTATATACAATAAAGTAATATGTACCGTAATATTAAAGTCTACAAGTGTATGTGTATGTGTATGTGTATGTGTGTGTGTGTGTGTGTGTGTGTGTATGTGTGAAAAATCTAGATGTTTTCCATATTTGAGTTTATCAATAAAATTATTTGGCACGGGCACAAAAAATATAAGTGTGCTCAATATAACCATAGAAAAAATATACTGTATATACAGAATATGCATAATTGCAATACATATTTATCATTTAAGTTAATCCAAGATTAATATCAAATATGAAATAAATAAATTCATTTTGTTTTTGTCTATAATAATCGCGTCATTTCCAAGGTTTATCGATAGGTTTTTTTGAAACCCGATTTCTAAACATTAAAAAAAATAATTTGATAAATTAATTGGTAATAAAATGTTACTTATTGTGGAAAAATCATATAAATAGTGGACTGAATAGTATAGATATTCATATAAATCGTAAATTAGTATATTGTAAAACTTTTAGTTCAAACAAAATTATTTGTTATATTTTTCAATAAATATATTCATAATTTCTTTCTGTAATAATGCCAAACCAAATAAGTTTAGCATTTAAAGACCAATGCTGTAAATCAACGGTGCAATTGCACACCTCGGCTGAAAATGATGTCCATGAAGTCGTACGCCAACACTACGCCAAAGTAGTGACCAGCGATAAGACTGTATCAGGTGATCGTTGCGGAGCCAATGGATCCTGTTTTGCTGCCAATGTTGATGCAAATTATGCCAAAAAATTAGGCTATACTAAGGAACAGTTGGCCGATATACCTAACGGTGCAAATCTGGGTTTAGGATGCGGTAATCCAAGTCAAATGGCAAATATCAAAGCAGGACATACGGTATTGGATATGGGTTCGGGTGCCGGTTTCGACTCTTTTATTGTAGCTCGTGTTGTAGGACCAACTGGTCAAGTGATTGGTATCGATATGATACAAGAAATGGTAGACAAAGCACAAGCAAATGCCTTAAAAAGTGGTCACCAAAATGTAGAGTTCCGTTTGGGTCAGATTGAGGACATGCCGGTCGACACAGAAACGATTGATGTGATTATATCAAACTGTGTGATCAATTTGGTGCCAAATAAAGCCAAAGCGTTTACCGAAGCATATCGTGTGTTGCGACCTAACGGTCGACTCGCTATTTCGGATCTCGTGACCACTACTGACATTCCCGATAATGTTCGTCGAGATCTGGCTCTATGGGCCGGATGTTTGGCCGGTGCGTCACTAATCAGTGATCTGGAGAAACATCTTAAAAGTGCCGGTTTTGTGGACATTAAAATAGCGCCTAAAGATGAGAGCCGACAGTTCATTAAAGATTGGGCGCCGGGTTTGGGACTCGAAGACTATGTCATATCTGCTAATATTACAGCGAGAAAACCATAATTTTTTAAAAATAATTTTTAAAACTTTATATGTTTATACTTAAAAACTATATTTATAATTTTACTATTTGTTTTTAATTATTTAACAAATTTATTTCATAAAAATACACACACAAACAAAAAACTGTAAATAATTTTATTGTATAAATAATTATAGTAAAAGTTATAAATATTTAAATAATTACATTAAATTTAATAATTTTTAAAAAACAAAAATTGTTTGCTTATCACTAATTTGACTGAAAGTTGGCTAACAAAGTAAGGATACGTGAATTCATATATTTGCCGGCATTCATACCGATCAGATAGTCGGCGTGATTCCATAGACTGTACGGTATTACATAATCATCATAGAGTGGTACTGGTGTTTAGGGGTTGGGTTTGAAAAATAATAAACAAAACAAACCAAATTAATTAATTATTATATTAAATATTTAAAAAAAATATTACTAATATATCAATAAATGTAATAAAACTTTGCACACATTGTGAACAACAAATCCAAAAAAAAAGTTTTTGGTATCGGTTTTATAAGAAATTACCTGTTAGTTGACCTCTCAATAGATCGACATCCGTTGGATCCGCCAAATAGTCGTTAACACCGGTAATAAGTATCATATTTCGTGATGTGATCTGAGATAAGTTATACACCGGTGGTGTCGGCTGTCTATAAAGTTTCTGGTTTTCGCTGATACCGTAGTCATAATAGGCAAAGTTTTTATTGTTGACCCGTTGTGCTAAATGGGCAAGAATTAAAGTGGACGTACCGTCCGGAAAGTGCCCGACTATAGCCGGTATTCTGGTCTGAATCGGGATTAAGTAATAATTAATTAGATTTGTTTTATTTGGTTTACTTTTTTTTGTTGAGTTATTACAGTATTAGTATTGGGAAAGTCAAACCCACACAACAAAAATATAAATAATTCACAGAAATCATCTAAAAAGGAGTTCCCACAGAAAAAGTGACCAAAATATCTGTCGATTCGGGCCAATCGTGCCGAAGGAACCACAAAAAATGGTAACGAAGTCGATCTTCAAAAGATTTTTTTAATTTTCATATAAGTTTTACTATTAATTAATTTGTTATTTTTGTTAATATTTATATACCCTATAAATCTCTCAAATAATGCTCCGATTCTTAATATCAATGACTCTATGGCGCCGACATAGGCTACCGGTGCTAACGCTATATATGGTCTGATAATCGATGTATACTCTGGTTGTGTAGAAAGCAATTGAAACATCATAGATGTGCCCAAAGAATGTCCAATATATCCAATTGACTCTTTACATAAATAATAGGTATATATTTATAGTACTGTTTGTTTCAAATAAAAAAAACCTGTATTCGTGACTCTCGTGATATATGCGATAACTGCCGTCACATCATAAGCGCTCAGATGATCGACAGTATAGGCCCAATACCTGTTGTCTATGAGGACATATATTTAACAATACATTAAATTTATTTAGATTAACACACCTGTGTCTGGATCAAGTAGGATGTGTCGACTTGAATACCTATTCCCGCGATTGTTGCCCAGCCATACATCGTAACCGCAAGCGGCCAACACAAAGCTCACAGTTGAACCGACCGCATCGGGATCCTGGCCACTACAATTGGTGGCCATACCATTATTTTCCACATAAACACCATCATTACCTAAAACTCCCGGTACGTTCAACAGGAAATCATCAGAACTGCCAAACAATCCGTGCTGTATATACACTGGTCTTAAACTACTATTCCTTGCATACGGATTAACAATACGAAACACTTGTAGTATATATCCGTCATTTGTGATGACAGTATGTGCTTCGGGTATAAATCCACGACTGCTTATAATTTGAGTCTAATTTTGTTTTCAAAATTATAATTTCAATATCAAATAAAACATATTTTTTGAATGAAATTCATGTATCGATTACCGCATTTCTATCGATATCTGGATCATCGCTATACCAGCGAAACGATTGGCATTGAGTAGAGTTTATCACAAATAAAAGTAATGCTAAAAATTTTGAAATTTCATAAATAAATTGCTGATAATATTTATTATTATTATTGCAAGTATTATATCGGTTCATATCATTAAATGACACGCACTTATAGTATTTATTTGAAATGTAATTATTTAATTTTAGTAAATACCAAATTAACAATTAAATATAATGTTTTGTGTTATTGAAAAAACACATCATTAACTGTCCATCATATTGTTAGACAATTAATGCATTAAAAAATAAAATTTATTATAATTATCATATGTCTAGTAGTATAAAACACAAGTCATTGACATATTGTTATGATAGAGGTTTTTAATTATTTAATAATTTAAAATTCAAATATAATTTTTATTGACTATTTTTTATTACCAAATAATTAAATAAAATATAATAAAACTTATTTTTAAAAAAATAAATATTTTTATTGTATTATGAATTTTACAATTATTATTTTGATATATGTTACTAAAACTACTATATTTTAAGCTCAATTTATATTAATGTTATTTATTTGATTATTGTTTGTCATGTATTATGATATTACATGTATTTTAATTATTTATTTAAAATTTCTAATAAAAGTATATTATAAAAAAAAACTTTCTAGAAATTTTATTTTAAAAATTGTAATTAGCCAATTAGTCATAAACAGTAGTTATGGTTAATATTTTTTTAAATAATTTATATACATTTATATGATTTATAAAATTAAAAATATTATTTGATAAAATATGGTTCATAGAAATTCATTGGTTTGTAATGTGAATACACTTTATAACTCATGTGTTGAATAATCCATTGCCGATAAGCGGATATTTTTGTAAAAACTGCCGGCGCTTCTGAATCACAGTTTTCCATACCCCACGAAACTACACCTATTTGTCTATTATTGGTAACTAATGGTCCGCCCGAATCACCCTATTGTTAACAACAATACAATGTGTGTGTGTTTTTTATATAATTAATATCAATAAAATAAAATATATGTATTTATTATTGAAGATATATTGTAAATTTATAAATTAGGATGTATTATACAAAATTCATAAACTATATAAACTTTATAATAATAATAATATCTAACAAACTTATGGTACGTACCCCACAAACACCTGTCCCTTTAGGTTTACTGGTGCAAAGTTGATTTTCGGTAATTGACCAGTTGGTATTTCCATACAACTCGTAATACTCTTTACACTCTTTGTGATCCATTACTTTTAGACTTAATTTTTGTAGCAATTTGGGAAAGCCTTCGGGCGGATACTTGTCATAACCCCAACCACTGGCCAGACATTGTGTGCCCGTCGGTATTGCTCTATCTTCCAGATCAATGGCGCGCACCATAGTATTAAACTGGATGTCGGTGTCCACGATTAGTATTGCTATATCGTTGACCATTGAGCTGGAGTTATAATTGTTATGTATAATAATGCCGTGAGCTTTGTCCACATTATAGTTGACTCCACCCGATATTTCATTGGTACCGACAGTGACCACAACCTTACCGTCTTTAATCTTACTCTTGATTCTGTTTTAAAAAATAATTTATACTAATATAAAATTATTATATTATATATTATAATAATTATGTTATAATACAGTATTATGAAAAAATTAAAAACTAATTGATAATTTCAAACAAAAATGTTTACCCATCCATACAATGAGCGGCTGTTACTATTAGACGCTTACTAACTATAGTACCGCCACAATAGTGATCATTAGTTTGTATATCTCTGACGGATACTTGATATGGAAAGTCCTCAATGTTTGCCACTTCTCCGCCAATTATTCTTGATTTTGGTCTTAAAAAACCTAAACCTCTACTGATTTTATTGAGAATACTTGTAAACCAATCCGATATAAAATCTAAACCCAAAATATATGATTTAACTTTACGATGATTAGGATAATAGTAATCATTATCATTATAATCATCACTAATGTGTTTATCATAATATTTATTATAGTAATCATATGATTGTTGTTCATAATATTGTTCACTATTTATATAATCGTTTTCATCGTAGAAATTATTTTGATTATAAACAAAATAATAATTATAATTTAATGAAAAAACAAAAATAATTATTTTATTTAATAACATTTCTAATATTTTTATTTGTTTATATCAATAATTATATTTTTTATTTAAAATGTTTATAAAATAGTATATTTATAGTACTCATGCATTTTGAAGAGTATTGATTTACATAATTATGTACACTATATACATGTTTTAATAATTTATATATTTATTTAATTACTTTTATGTAACCTTATGTTTCAGAATAATATCAAAATTAAAACATATTTTTTTAGTTTAAAATTAATTACTAAAATTGATTATTTAAATTATCTTAATTTTTGTAATGATTTAAAAATAATTATTAAATTGTAAGATATAATTAAATAAATGATATATTTATTTATAACTGTATAAATGAGTTAATGTAACATATTGATATTGTAAAAATGATATTATATCAATATATATGTTTTAAATACAATACAAATTATTTTAAAAGATTGAGAAAATAAATATTTTAAAAAGATAAATACAAATTGTGATCACTAAATCAACTATTTATTTAAGTAAAATTTTATTTGATATTCAACTAATAAGCTCATTAATATTTAATATAATAAGGGGTTGATCACATATTACGTTCGCACTTTTTAAAATATTTAGATCCCCTCCCTCCCCTATGTTCGCAATTTTTTGCGTGTAGTCATTGAAAAAAATTACGTTCGAAAGTCCCTAACCGCTACCCCCCACTACAAGAAATAAAATATCTAAATGCGAACGTTCTTAAAGTCTCTACCCCTCCCCCTCGTTCGCAAAAGTTCGCTTTGGCTAACCCCCCTCCCCTCAAGTGCGAACGTAATATGTGAACCAAGCCTAAATATAAAATTGTTTTTCGTGATCTTAGACCAAAAAATGTTTGTTTTACTTATGTATTATATTTAATGTTAAAATTTTTATTTCTTATATGAATACATAAAAATGCATTTAAGTTTGAATTATATTAGATATTCTTAGAAAATATCGACTTAATTCACAAAATATAATAAATACATTAAACTTCATAAATATCAAGGAATATATATATATATATATATATATATATATATATATTTATATTTATATAGTTTATATATATATATCAATTGTCTACCTATTGAGACAATTACTTTATTTATTAATTAAACAATAAATTAGTTAATAATAAGCAAAAATAGTCGTTTATTTTATACATTAATTTTAATATATTTTTCTTTAAATATTATTTAAAATTATATTTTAAAATATGCTAATCTATTTTTTTATCATTTATTATTATTGTTTAATTCGTTATCAAATCATTTCCAAAAACTATTTAACATATTTCAAAAGTAACACTTAATTAAATCAAATTAAAACAAAATAATTCAATTTAATTTAATTTATAGTTATTATATCATAAGATTATTTTGAAATTAAGTTCAATTATACTGTAAATATACAACAAAAAATTATTATATTTATAGTAATAAATATTAATATGTTTTTATTAAACACTAAGATAATTATTATTCATAAAATCTAAATTAAATTAATATTATTAAATGATATTTTGCGAAATGCAATATATCAATAGTATGATATACCTGTATAATAGTTTAATTTATAATATTAAAGTTTTATGAACACTATTTTTTTAGATGTATTTTATAATTTATGTACATAATTTATATAAAACTAATATAATTAAATAGTATTATTTATAAAACTACTTAAAAATAAATGATTATCATTTTTAATATGAAATAATTAAATTAATTAATACTGTCTAATGTTAATGAAATTTTATGATCGTTAATAAAAAAAATTGTCTAGGTAACTATACTGTAATATTACTAAATAGTTAAATAAAATTAAAATGTATTATTAAAAAACACTGGTTTAGTTATTTTTAATAATATCTGACCAAAAGTTATGGCAAAACTGGAGCACAAAAAGAAAACTGAACTCAAGTACCAAACGGCCCAATACTGCGATTTAATACTTGATATAAACGCCACAAACGTTAGGACAGCCATCACTGTGCCGTATATAGTGGCCAACCAATACCGCTCCATATATCCGGCGTATAGGCCAACAAATTGTACTAATATGCTAACTAAGCCAACCGCTATTACAAATAGCATTGCCATTTCCTTAAATAGAAATTGTTAATTTTTATCACATGTAAATAATATTTAACAATTTATTTATAAAACTTAATAAACTTTTTTTTTAAAAAAATTTAATAATATTTAGTTTAAAGTTAACAAAAATATTGTATAATTAATAATAGAATTTAAAATATTATAAATTAATGTTTTTATTGTTTTCATTAATAAAATTTGTTAAAAACATACAAACTCTGTATTGTTTGATTTGAAACGTATGACCGATAGTGTGACCACAAATATTGCCGATATAAACGATGTCAAACATAGTGACAGTAGTGACCATTTCATACACACAAATGAAACTGTCCTTTCATATGCCATTAATATTTATTAATATTATATATACTGTATATAAATAACATAAATAAGTTATATAAAACTGTATAAAATTTACAAATTAAATTTTATATTAAAAATGAATAGTTTCAGTAATATGACGTGAAATATGTTACTAACTATTGATTGAAATTATTTGTAAATATTACTACAATAATGTGTAACTAAAATTACATGCTTTTATGATAGATTAAATAATGTATAAGTAACAAATATTACACTGTATTTAAAAATATTTGATAAATGTTTGTCACTAATAGTAACTTTAGTGGTAAAAGTGATAAAAAATAACATTACTTTTTCAATGTCTACTCCATATTATAATAGTATAGTATATTTTAGTTCAAATTGTAATTTTTTTAATAAAACTGCATTAATAGATTATTAGACTTCAAATTATGAAATGTAAAATAATTATTTAAAAATATTATTAAAACTATACAGTATTATTTGACTAACACTTACATATAAAATATATTATTTAGTTTATATTAATTTGAATAGTATATTTTAATAGTAATAACATATACAATACATTTTATATTATTAAATAAGTGTCTTTTAATATCATTATGCCATTAATTAATGTATTTTTTGTGAAAAATAAATTATATGCTTTTTAGTAATGTAAAAAAATTATAATTTTTTAAAATTATGTTTGTATTGATAATTAATTCTATTTCTATTGTAGTTTATATTATAAAATAAGTTATAAATGCGAGTATAATATATAAAGTAATATATTGTTTTATATTGACTATGTTAGGGTGTTCACTTTCAAAAAAAATAATTTGGTAATAAAAAACTAATTGTAAATTAATCCTAAATCTAAATACAATAGAACTTTGCAAAGTGTTTGCTTAAATTATTTAATAGATTTTATTTTGTTGTTTTTTCTCTTAAATTCATACAATTTGTTTGATAATTTAAATAATTTTTTTTAAACAAAATTTTTACATCAATTTATTTGAAATAAGTTAATTCATGACAATATATTTGTTGACTACCGTATTGTATAATACAGTAAAGTATATGAAAACAGTTTTCAACTATTTTCAAAAAAGTTATAATATAATGTCATTAACATATATATTTGAATACATTTTTGATGAAATAAAGCAATCAATAAACTTTGCTATCCTTTATGTTAATGTTGTTGTTGTTTGTGATGATACCATACATTAAACTAATTGAATATCCAAATTACTGTTTAAAATTTTATATACTGTATTAATATATAAATATATAGAATAATAGATAGTTTGAATGATTCACTTTTTATGCAAATTAAATAAATGTTAAACTAAACTAAACTTAATATCACTAAAATAGTTTTATTTACAAATATTGTTTTCTATTTTTAGATATTTCTATTAGATATTGACATATAGAAATTTCTAATAAATTTCCATGAGAAAATTTCTCATGAATAAATTTTTATAGAAATTTTACATCATTATTATACTATGGGATCACCATATCTATAGGTATTGTATAATATTAATATACTATGGGTTAGTGTTCACTACAGTACACATACAAATGGGATTCATATATTATAATTATATATTTTTTGTAAAACTTTATTTATCATTCAAATATATTTTCAATTTAATCTAATTAAATAGATTATTTTTTTTAACTTTAAATATTAATTAAAATACTGTACTATTATTAATTTATTATTATTTAGATTTATTTGTAATTATAATGTATTTATAAAGAGATAACAAATATTGAGATAATAAAATTAATATATGTGGACCTCATAGAGAGAAATTTCTTTATTATTTTTTAGAAATTTCTATTTTTTTGCCAACTTTACAGTAATTTCGATTCAAACAACGATCAAACAAAACAACAAAAAAACACTGAATAAAAATTAAAATTTATATATACTTATTTTTTCCCCTGTAAATATCCATTTATACATAAATAAATTTAATAACAATTAAAGTGTTATCAATTTACGCCAACAAACTGAAAAAACATAACAATGTTGACGCCTACTATTTTTATAAATAAAAATAATAAAAATAACTCAATTCATTCAATTCAATTGAAATAAATTGAAGAAATTGGATTTGTCTTTCTTTTTATATGATGACAAAAAAAACAAAATTGTTTTCAAAAAAATAGCAAACAATTTATCAAAATGTCAGATATGTTATAAAAATTTATGAAAAGTTTTAATTCAAATTAACATATCATATAATTTATTCAGTTTTTAGATTAAACATTATATTATGTTTATGTACTTTTACAGTATATATTTATATAAAATTTTGTTTGTTTTTAAAAAAATATATATATATATATATTATATTATTAAATGTAAATATATAATTCAAGAGCACAACAAATGTAAAAATTAAAATTAAAATGTCATTTAAATATATGAAATGAGATAAGTTAATAAAAAGTCATCCAAAATAAATTTTCATTCAAGTATTTATAGGAAATTTATTTATAAACTAAACTATAAATAATTTTGCAATATTGCTGATTAATAATTATTTAAATTCATATGATATTAAATATTTATTTGAAAACTAGAAAAAACCAAATATAAAATTTTTTTAAGTTTCATAAAATGAAAATGAATTTATTTTTATTTAGCTTCAAGTTACTTAAATATCAAAATTTAATTTAATAATAATATTGACAATTTATTAAAATTTTTATATTATATTATAAATAAATTTTATACACATTTTGATAAATATATTTTAACAACATTAACTATTGTATTTTTTATTACATTTAAAAAATTATAATTCAATATAGTTTATAATAAAATTATATCTAATAATATAATTATATTGAATTTATTTCATAAATTAATGTAAGATTTTTTAAAATTTAAATAATCTTTTTAAATTTGAACAATAAATATACATTTTATACATTATACATATACATTAATATCAATAATATAAAACACTATAATCATATATTAATTAAAATGATTTATATAAATATCATTTATTTATCTTTAAAGTGCTTATAAAATAGATTATATATTTTTTTAAATATATATAAATATAAAGAAAAGATTTTTAAATTTTATACATAAAACTTTGACTCATGTTTACAAATAATAATACATTATTATTATTATTATTATTATGTACTGTAGATAAAAATATAAAATTTTATTTTTATATATCTTATCTATAGCTATATTAAATAAGTAAGCATATGTTATATCTATAAATACCAATATCATTATCCATATAATTGGTTATAGGATACCATCCTTTTTGATGATTAAATTACATGACATTATATAAATAATAACAAATAATCATTGATTGAAAATTGAGTCAATCATTATGTCATAAAATTATTTGTAAGCCTGGGATGAATCGCATGAATGCAACTCTAAGACAATATCCTTATTGTTTATTAAATTATTATTAATAGTATTATTATTATTACTATTAAACTTGAATTTCTTGATCCGTGTGTAACAGTTAGCAGTAGTTGTCGTTAAGTTAGTGTTGTTGTTGCCATTGCCATCGGTTGACAATTTGCTACCTGTCCTTCCAAATGACTGGAGCTGTTGTTGTTGTTGTGACAGTTGTGGTGGTTGTCCTCCAATTGATCTTATGGTAGACATTGGACTTAAGGCATGATTTGAAGGAGAAGAGGATTGATTAATAGATGTGGTTTCAGTATTACCATTGACGGCAGCCATCGACGACCGGAACCTTATCTTATGCAATGACCTCCCTTTCCCGTCGTCACTGCGACCATTGGCTGACTTTTTGATACGCCGTCCCTTACAGCGGGATATCGCCAAACATTTGAGATCTGTCTGAATGAAACAAAAAAACGGAGATCAACGGCTTAAAGAAGTTACGGCTGTTTTCAATCAATTTGATTTTGTCTTAAATAAGTTTTTTTTGTAAATCTTAATAATACTATAAAATATTGTTAATTATTTTTATAAATATTACTATAAATAATACCATTAAATCAATTGTCTATTTGCTAGAATATAGATTTGTTTTCTAAAAATTTTTAATGGATTTATCATTTTGCAATTTTATAGTTTACAATAAAATTGACATTTTAAAAATATTTATAAACATGTAATTTATAAGTTAAACATATGTATTAAATTATTTTGTTTAATAGAAAAATTTTATGCATTTTAAATAATGAGCTAATATGATCATTAGTATTTAAACGGGGTTTTTATATTTACATAATTATTATTATATATAATTAAACTAATTATTATCAATTTATTTTATAGTATAATTTATTAGTCAAAAAAATTATCAAAAATTCTAGATAAATAAGATTAATAATAATTAATTCCAATTATAAGTTATGTGATTAATAGACTTAAAATAATATTTCGATTTTCACAATAAGATTTAATTTATAAATACTGGACAAGTTTTATGTATAGTATGTTATTATACATATTAATTAATATATTTAGTGATACTAATAGTTTATAATAATGTTATACTAATTTCAATCAAAGTCAACAAAATATTTTACCTTATATGCGATTTTTACAAAATAAAATCAATTAAACTTAAATACTGTATACTTTGACCAATAAATATATTATTTAATGACTTATTTCGTACTAATTATAATTGTTTTAAATTATAATTATAATATTGTTACATAATATAAGAATTACACAGTTTTGTTGAATCATAATTTTTATGATTTTTAAAGTGAAAACAAAAAAAACTATATATAAATTCAATGATTTTTAACAATGTCTTCTAAAATAATGAAAACAACATATATTGAAAAAATGTCATTTAAATAATCCTAATAATTTTAATATAATAGTTTTGTCTGTTTGTTTGTTTGTTTGTTTGTTTGTTTGTTTGTTTGTTTGTTTGTTTGTTTGTTTGTATGTGTGCACACTTCCTCAACAACCATTTTTTAATTCAAAGCTAAAAATATATTGTTATATTTTCACTTTTAATTTTAAGTAATGTTATTTCTATGGGAAATTTTAAATGATTATTGAGCTCAGGTAGGTTTTAGGGACAGGTAGGCTGGTGTCGTGTAATTACACTTTGCTATATTATATGAGTTACAGGGCACCGGGAGGTAAGCTACCTGTGCTAATTTTTGCAAAATTTTCTCAAATGCAAAAATTTTCAATTTGTGTTAAAATTTTCAATTTTAATTTAAAGCAATGTTATTTCTATGGGAAATTTTAAATGATTATTGAGCTCAGGTAGGTTTTAGGGACAGGTAGGCTGGTGTCGTGTAATTACACTTTGCTATATTATATGAGTTACAGGGCACCGGGAGGTAAGCTACCTGTGCTAAATTTTTGTAAAATTTTCTCAAATGCAAAAATTTTCAATTTGTGTTAAAATTTTCAATTTTTATTTAAAGTAATGTTATTTCTATGGGAAATTTTAAATTTTTGTTGAGCTCAGGTAGGTTTTAGGGACAGGTAGGCTGGTGTGTCGTGTAATTACACTTTGCTATATTGTGTGAGTTTATGGCACATGTTAGCTACATGTGTTAAATTTCAGTAAATTTTTTTCAAATGCAAATTTTTTTTCGCAAAAATTAAATTTTCAATTTTTATTAAAATTATTTAAATATATATAAAAACTAAAATTTCTCAAAAGTAATGTGTATTGGTTCAGTAGTTTTGTTACATTAGGTTATGTAGTAGTTGTATAAACAAATTAAGTCTCATTCAAATWACTTATAGTAAATATTTTTAAATTAGTAAAAGAATTGCACGGCTATACATGTTGCTCGGGACAAACTAGTTATTTTTTATTATATTACTCTTATATAATATTATTCACAATTTATACAATAGCAGACATTTGAGTGCTTTCATACATTTATAATAATAAATTGAGTCTTTTTGTTGTTGATATAACAATTGATTTCATTTAAATCACTAAAAATTTGCTAAAATTTAAGTCATTAAACATATAAATCTATTGAATTAAAAATATTTTAATATAATTTATTTTAGGTTATTATTCACATTATTTTTTTAAAAAAAATGCTATCTATTTATAAAAAAATATAAATCATATTCTTTTTAAAATTTTATTCCTCTCTCTCTCCCTCTTTCTCGCACACAATAAAAATAATTATGACTTTAAGCAATATATATAAATTTATATATATCTTTCAAATATTTTGTATAGTATTATTTTAATTGCATTATATTAATAAATTAATTAAAAAAATACTAAAAATTATATCTCAAAATAATTATAAGAAAAACTTACTCTGAAGTTATCACTCATAAAACAATAGATGACTGGATTGACAAACGAGTTGCTCATTGATAGCCAATGCGCTGATATAACGAGTGCTACATATAGTTGAGGTCCGGAATCCATAGAGTTTAACGATTCTAACCATTCGCTCTTAAATGATATGACCAACTGTTTTGGATATATTTTTTTTTGTTGATATTTAATTCAAAAAAATTTGTATAAAGTTTGTTATTTTTTCTAGTAAATTATGAAAATAAAATTGCATAATATTTTTTTTAAAATAAAAAATGACTCATTAATTTTTATAATTTTATCATTATTGATAAGACATGAAAATTATTAAGTTTTTTTTTGATAATCCAAGTTAAGCTGTAATTTATCATATTTAAACATTTAACAAATATGTTTACATTAATAAACATTTTAAATTAGATTTTGAATTATATTGAAACATATATTTATTTATTTACTTACATTTAACACATGTATGGGAAGCCAACACAATGCAAATAAAATAACAATTGTCGACAACATTTTGATTACCTATTTATATGAATTGAGAAGAAAAAAATTATACAGTTGTTTATGAAAAATATATTACATATAATTATTTTGTGAAAATTTATGCTAACTTTAACTTTTGCCAAATGCTGTGCCTCATCACGAGCTGCATCTGCATTGCCCGGCATCGAGTGGCGGATCATTTTATAGCCGACAGCGCCGTAGACATAGCTCAGCACCAGTAGTGGTAACGCAAACGTTATCATAAATATATTCAAAGTATAAGTGCGCTTTCCCTGTTCGGTCCACGTCTCCCGACAGTCATAGTAGGTCTCATTGTTGACGACAAACGGTTCGGCCACTGAATTAAACCACGTAACTGAACCCAAACCGATGCCCAGTAACCATATGGCACTCACTATGTACGGACCTAACGATTTAGACCATCGACTTGTGCCAAACGGATACATTATGGCTATATATCTATAAATATTGACAAATAAAGTATAAATATTATACATTGAAATACATTTGTTAAAAATTAAACTTCAATCGATATCAATCCATCATTTTTTAAATAATAATTTATCAATAATTTATATATAAAAGTAGTTAATTTTGAATATATTTTAATTTTGTTTGCGTAACCAAATTTTTTAAATATAAAAATATATACGATTAAAATATTTTTAATTTTTAAATACCATATTAATATTCTGTAATTTATATCTAAGTTTTTTAAAATAACACTACATATTATATAAAATTTGTAGTTATTATTTTTATGTAAATATAAATTAGATTTTTTATTATTTTAAATATTTACATAATATGTTTTTACATTATTATATACTGAGATTTTTATATAATTCAATTTCCTTTAAGGCATTAAACATAACTCATATGCCATTATATTACAGTTTTTAAATTACTTTACATATACTGTAAATGTAAGCTAAATTTGTATTAATATTTATCTAATGTATACAAAAAATTAACTTTTTAGAAGATCTTAAAATAATCTCTCTCTCACTCACTCACACACTCATTATCTTTCTATCTATTTATTTAATATAAATATCATTTTATAACATATTTGTAATACGTTTTTTTTGTGAAAATTATTCCTAAAAAATTGAATTTTATTATAAAATATAAATTCAAAATTTATCATAAACTTTACGATAAAGTTATATAAAAACTGAAAAATTATCATAATGTTATATATTTTTTTTATAAAACTAACAAATAAAGAATAATTACAATTTAATAAATATAATACTTGAATTATTTAAATCATTTAAAATTTAGATTTTTATTTTATAAATAGAAAAAATATATTTTTCATAACAATTACATTATATTTATTTAATCGATTATACTGTAGTTAAATAATAAATTATGTAAACATAATGAGATTTTTATGTATCATATGAATATAGCAGACTATATAGTATAATATTTTAGTTGTTTAGTCATAAAAACTTACAAACATTAAAAAATTATTTTTAATATGTTTTCTTTGCCTTAAAGATATTATTGCAATATCTTATTTATAATAAAAAACACTCCTTTTAAGTGCATTTAAATTTTTTCAATGTATAAACTATAAAATCGTGATTTTATTGAAACAGCAGTCAAAATATTAAATATTGAAAAAACAAAATATGATGTATTATACTGTATAAAAATAAATAATAGTGAATAATTAAAATGTAAATGAAAAATGATATAAAAATAATTTTATTTTTTGAAATAATATTAAGAATATTCTGTGTATTTGTATTTAATATGAAATATTTTTGTGATATCATTTTGATGTTCTTTTTTGTTAGTTTTTATATCTTATTTTATATTATTTGGCAAATTTTGCAGCAAAACAACAAAAAATATTATCTAAGAGACAACTGAATCCCAAATCGATTATTAGTTTTGGTTTTATAAAAAATATTGATATGATATATCATATTATAAAGTATAGTATTGTAAACCATAAGTAAAAGACGGAAAAGGTTAATAAAAAAAACCGTATTTCCAATGAACTGTATTTCCTATAAAAATAGTTACAATTGTTATCAAAATATCATTTGAGTCATCGATTTGTTTGTTTGTGTCGGAAAAATAAACAATATTATAAGTATATACACTATATTTATATAATACATTACCGGTATATAAAAATAATATAATATCATACAATATGTATAATATTGTACAGTATTTATTATATATTGATAATATAAACAAAATTATACAATTTTTTGGCAATAAAAATGTGTATTGCATAACAAATATGATATATATTTAAATTATATGCAACCACACACACACACACAAAGTAATCATAATAATACTACCGATAATATCAGTAATAATAATAATAATCATCATTTTATATATTGTGACAAAAATTCAAGATAATTCTAAAAATCTTTTTTTTTCTATATTTTATAGTTTTTCAATATATTAATACTTTAAACTGTATCAAAAATATTACAATAGAAATATAAATAGAAAATTGATTTTTAATATATAGATTTAATAATGTACTGTATATTATATTTAACCACTAAAGTATACCAAGTTTTATATAAAATTTATATTACATTTAGTTTAAAATAACTTGTCTTTAAATTTATGATAATAAATCAACTATTTTATTTTAATATAAAGGTTTTTTGTTGTGCATATAATACTAAATCTAAATTTACAAAATATTTTAATTTATATTAAAAGTAATACAAAATATTTCTAAAAAATATTTAAATTAACATATCATAAATAGAATGAAAATTAGTTAAAATTTTATTGTATTTTATAATAAAATTTAGTGTTTTATATACAAAATTGCATTTTTATTTTTTTAATACAACTATTATATAATATTGTTAATTAGATTTAATTAAAAAATATTTCAGTAATATAAATCAAGTTTTACTAAAATCAAACATAATTTCTATAAAATATTTTAACACAAATTTTATTTTTAAAATTTTATTTGATAAACAAATTTAAAATTAAATTTTGTAATAATATTATGATATACACTTCAGTTTGTAAAATATAATTATAGATACTTTATTAAGTATTTATTGTAATTTAAATGAAAATATATTGAAATATTAAGACTAAAAATAATAATAATCAATGTTAACATAATTTTCTAAAAATAGGAATAATTTTATTTTCTAATAAAAGTATAATTAAGATATAATACATTTAATATACGTTAATATATAGACTAATCTTTGTTAGATTTCCAGTATTTTTTAATTCAATGTCCAATTTATATATCTTAATACTCACCCAAATCCCTGACCGATCTTTATTTTATTTACTCTACAAAATTAAATGTTTGTTTCCAATTATTTTTGCATTTTATAACTATTACTACTAATATTGATTAAGCAATATATTTTTTGTTATACACTTATAGTTATAATAAAAAGTCACAAATAATTTTTATCGATTTTCATTGAACATATTTATCGAAATATTTTATTTATATACAGTTATTTTTTCTATAAATTAATTTACAATTAATAACAATTAACTATTTTCTATCTAAAAATTCAGTTAATTTAATAAATTTATAAATACATAGAATTTTTTAGTTTTTGTTATTTTTTTTTTGTTAAACTTTAGAGAATTGTGGAAAATCTTGATTAAATCCAATTGGATTATTAAATCTACTATTTATCTTATTTTTATCCGACACATGAATCCCAGTTTAATTCATTCATGAATGTATTTGAATAATACAAAACATACAATTTATAAAAATATATAATTAAATTATAATTAGATTTTTATGATTCTTGTTATTTTAATAGTAAATATTGGTCTTAAATAATATTTAACATAAAAAACAAAAATATAACTAAACATTGTATAGTTATATACTCTAAAATGTATAGTACATAGAATATAAAAAACAGATTTATAAAAAAAATTTATCCGAGTTATAAAATATCATAATTATTGTAATTTAGTTCATTAAATAATCAATTTTTAAATTATATATTTTAAAATAAATCACAATATTTTATATAAATTTAAAGTATATAAAAAAGTATAAAAATATATATTCAAAATAAATAACATTAAAAATTAAAAATTGTAATTCATTTTATTAAATTCATATTTTTTAAAGTGAAAAACTATATTATAATAAATATTTTAATTTATAAGATCTTATTATATAAGTCTTATTATATTATTTAAATTATGTATAGTACTAACATTTTGTATAATACCAAAATACTTTACATAGCTTAAAAACATAAAAATAACTTCATAAAAAAATATATTTTATAAAAGTTTTTAAAAATAAAATTTATTTCAAAATAACTTTAGTTTGTATGCTATTTGTAAAAAATGGATAATAAGATTACTAAAGTTACTGTAAGACAAAATATGTTTTTATTATATTAATAATTTAGATTTAAGTTTTATTTATAGTTATTCATTTGCTTATATTTATAGTTGTATTAAAATAAAAGTAACCGATTTGTATGGCTTTTTGATTGTTGCACCGGTATGTTTGACATTTAACATGTTGTTGACTAATGTTAATGCTATTTACAGTACAGATAGTATAAAACGGTTTGCTTACTGAGTGACAGTTATGATGCCATTTTCCGGTCCATTTGTAACATATAATCATTAGTTTTATTATAAAACCAATAATACAATAATATATTTAATTATTATCATCATTATTGTTATTATTGTTGATTTTTTGAATAGCATTATACAGTATCTACAGTATAGTTAAACTTTTATTTATTGTTATGTGTGACATAATAAACCCTTTACTGTATATTGTTATTTCAATACAACATTATACTGTAGTTATAATAAATAGTACACTATTTAACTGTACAGTTACTAAACTTAATATAATAATAAATTATATTTAAGTTTTATTTTTATTTTATAATTATATCTATTTATTAAATAAGTAAAGTTTCACAATTTTTGCTACAGATTTTAAACAATTATTAATATTTTCGTATTCTAATTAAAATAATTTATTTTAATTTCTAGGATTGAATAATAAGCTAGAACTATTTTTAAATGTTATTTAGTTTTAGTAAATTTACTTTAAAATATATTTTTTTTTTAATTTTTAATATTTAACAATAATTTATAAAATAAAATATATAAATATATTAGTACCATGTTTAAATTTCTAAATTTAATATTAATAAATAAATTAAATATCAATAGTTTTTATCGATGTTTTATATTATTATAAAAAATTATTATATTTACAGTAGAAAGTAAATTTAATTAAATATTGTTTTCTAAATTTTTATACATTTTTGCATAATATTCAATTAGTTATTTAATAAATTAACAAAAAAAACTATACTATACAAAACTATAACTAACATTTGTTGTTTTGTGTACAGTTATTAAATATAATAGACTCAGTAAATAAAAATGGATATTAATAAACTAATATCTAAATTATTGAA